TGCATAATTGCCAGACAATTTTCAAACATGTCTTTCATCAGCATTCTCTCAGTTTATAAACTGAGGCATAAAAAACATTCATATATATTCACTTTCTTTTTATGTTCTGTGCCTCTCAAGGACGGGGACGATCATGGCTCTCCATAACTTCTTATCATTCTTAGCTCTAAGCAATGTTTATCCCTTTACTATCACTTCTTGTCCTTGTTCTGCTATTTACACAAGCTAATTAGGTAGGTTACCAAATGTTTCCATCTGGCCCACTTGGGTTCATCTCTACCCCAAGTCCTCTTTTTTCATTATGTGGCCTAGAAATTTCAACTTTTTTTTTCTGATTCTAAATATCAGTGTGCCTTTTTGTTTTCATTTTCTGTAAAGCGTCATCGTTGCTCAAATTTACTCTGTCCATGGTATTCTCAACATCCTGCTGTAGGACCACATTTCTGTGGCCTCCATATCTCCTTTTTTATCTGTAAGGAAATTGTCCAGAGTAGTTCAGCAAACTGTTCTTTGTTTCGAAGAAAATTTTTCCTGTTTACGTACTTTGCTTAGTTTCCAGAAGGCATCCTCTGCTATTCCAACGTCTCCTTGAATTCGGTTCTTTTATTGCCTTTCTCCTCAATACTGTTTGGTTTTCCCATATTCTTTCAATATCGGTAACCCCTTACATCTCAGTGGCTTTATCGCCTTGCTTGAGGTAAAATGATTAAAATAATAATAATAGTAATAATAATAATAAGAAGAAGAATAGAAGACATCAAAATACTAATAAAGAATTATTTACCACATGGTACTCTTTATTTTGTTTTTAAAAAAGTGTACCTGTTTCTTAATAGTTTAAAAGATAATACCCTTTATTAGAAATGAAAAAATCAGTTTATTAAACTAATTTGAAATATAAAGTTAAAGTATGGTATTATAGCTTCAAGCAAAGTCGGGCACCTCGTGGTAGTGTAATGGTTAGCAAGCTTGTTTCGCTAGAACAGTTTACGACTGAATAGTGAGTTCGATCCTCACTGCGTACCTCATGTTTTCGGCCTTATGCCACATCTGAGCTACGCTTGGAAAATCGCTATAACAAGCCAAGTTAAAAGACCATACGTGTCTCAACTTCGAAATTAAGAGAGGTTAAAACTCAACAAATTTAGATGAAAATTTTAAAGATATTTTTTCTTGTTTCTTTAACGCCATAATTGTAAAATTGACTGCAGTTTTCTGTCTAAAATGATAGCATTTCAATTCGATCTTTCGCAATGGAATATCGAATTTTTGAAGACGGAATAAAAACCTAAAGAGTTCGAGTAGAAGTTCAGTTTATTCATCAAGTGCATAATCATCATTATCAGATAAAAGATAAACGTCGCCATTAAACTAATTTTTATTCTTTCGAAAAAAAATCTAGGATACTGTATGAAGAGGATCCTGGGAGTTCTAATATCTTTAATTTTAATTTTAACCGTCGTGATATTTAGAAAAATGTTCCGGTTATATAATTAAATGGAAATTGTCAGGTGTTAAAACAAACCTGAATTTGAAAGATAATGAGGAAAGAAAGCTTGGAAAATTTGATACTCACAGGACAAGAAGGACAGCAGAAAACAATGCATAACCTACTTAGAGAGCTTGAGTAAATGGATGGCGAAACAAGGTTTAAGAGAGTTAACAAAAAGACAAACATTTATTAAGAGGCGACAAAAGACAGGAAATTGAGATTTTTAACTCATAGAGTGTTTTTTCTTCTTCCAGTCGTTGCCATGTGTGTGTGAGGTATTTTTATATAATGTAGCGAGTGGTGACGGATAAATTCTTACGGTGAATGAGTATATTGATAAGAATGAACGGGTCGTAAATGCGATTAGCTAGGTATAAGCTAGTAATGACCAATCTTAAACAGTCTCTCCATTTTGGGGACTTGTGCCACAATTACTTCATCAGTAATACATCTTAAACAGGAAATTGTGGAGAAACATGATCGCCTACGTCCTAAATGAAAACGCCACATAAACGAAAAATAAATTATCTCAACTTAGCCCTTTCATAATTTTCTGTGTTTATTTTACAGAGCGTCTGTCTGCTTCAATATTATTTGTGTACTTCTTGCTTCCATGGATGTCTTGTCTTGTTTTCAAAACCGTCTTTCCTCATAGTGTGTGCCAGAAATTTCATCTGTCCTTTTCTTATTTACATTTCCCTTAAAACTCGTTGCTCACATACTCTTATCTATGGTATTGTAGATAAAATCATATCTCTGTTGTTTCAATTCTCCTTTTCATCTATGGGGATTATCCAGCAGTCACTGCTATATACGAAACTAGTCATTACATAGCAGTTTAACACTGATACCAGATTGTTTACAAAGGAATATCTCTTTTTTAGAGATGGAATAAAACCCTATTTAATATAACACATGTTCAGATAATCAAGAACATAATCATCATTATTAGCCAAGATAAGCCTCGCTGTTACGGGATGCGAACTTAATCTCCCCCTTTAAAGAATGAGTTACTTCCCTTGTCCGCTAGTCGGAGCAGGCACTTCTGAATTCAACATGGTGACAATCTGACATGCAAGTAGAACTCATGTTTTAAATCCAAACTAATCCTTGATGTATTCAGACAGTAAATAAATAAATAAAAAAAATATTATGTGTTAAAATACACTTGTCTTTTTTCATTCTTTTTTTATTCATCCTAACAACCTGAATCTAATTCTCTTATTGCATGAAGAAAAACTCTTGGAATATATATATATGAAAAGAATTCTGAGATTTTTTTTTACTTTTAACCGTTTTGATAATATGAAAATAATAAGAAAATGTTACAGTGATATAATTTAATGGAAATCGACAGGCGTTAAACCAACGTAAGTTTCGAGGACGGAATAAAATATCACATTTTAGCCATTTGATTCTTTTATATGTTTATTTTACAGAGTTTTGGCTTGCATTATTATTCTATACACTGAAGCTATCACTTGACTAAATAGGAATATTATTGTGTGGACCAAAACGATTTCTGTGAATGTCATGACTTATTCTTACTGCTTGTAAAAGAAAATCTGCTATATTCAACCAGATGCTTATTAAGAACCTAAAGTAGTTCAAAGAAATATAAAAGCATTAATTTCACTGTGGAATTATTCATTGCTAATAATAATGATTATATAAACCATTGTAATGTTTGTTACTTTGACAGGATTTCATTCTCGCTCCTAAAATGCAACATTGCTTTTCAGCAATGTAGTTTTAAGAAGGGATTTACAAATTAGAGAAGACAGATAAAAAATTTCTTACGAGGCAAAATCTATCCATCTATCTGACTAATCGGAAAACAGACACACTGGACTACTTTCAACGATTTCTGTCATCTATAGCTCAACATAGTTCTTTCTGTTTCCCGTGTCATATATGAATTTGTCGTTGACTATTCTTGCTGGTCTGCCTCTTGATCTTTTCCCATAATTTGGAAGCTGTATTATAAGCTGATATCTACAATGAAGACACCTACATAAATCGAAGTCGCCTTACACAGATTGTGTCTGTTTTGGTTCCTTAATAATAAGACATGAAAATGCTTAAGCTAATGAAGAATAAAGATAAAAGTATAATATTAGTAAAAAGATTAATAAGAACAGTCAACACTAATTCAGCTAATGAAAAATGCAGGTAATACTAACAAAAATGAATAAGAATGGTCAACAATACTTCACCTAATGCGAAATGAAGAAGAAAGTAAATATTAGTCAAAAATTAATAATAATTGTTGACAATAATTCAGCTAGTAAATAGTGCAGATTAAAGTAAATACCAATAAAAAACTTAATAAGACTGGTTGACAGTAATTCAGTTAATGAAAAAAGCAGATGAAAGTAAATAGTATACAAAATTAAATAAAGATGGCTGATAAAATTAATCTAATAAAGATAAAAATAATATTTATGTTACCAGTAGTAATTTGTAAAAACAATCTCGAATATGGTATTAATAAATTTATTACTTTCCAAACAACCTAATGATAAAACTTGTACATGTATGACCTTGAAATAATATCACATATTTTATATAGAATAAATTCTTCCTTAATGGCAATACATGTTAAAATTCATTGTCTTTTCGAAGAACCTTAAATTTACGAGTTTTAAAATATAAATTTCAAGTTCAAAACGAGAAGACCCCGTTAAGGATATAAATAAATATGGCGCACATTGATTGGTTACCTGAGGCCAGAGCCATTAGATGAAGGACCAATAAAATAAAATAGAGAACTTGCAGAGGGGAATTAACAGGAAATAACTGATAACTGACATCCATTAAACATGGCACATGGAACTAGAACAGTCTACCCCAGTGAACGAAATAAAGGGTTCAGTTCGATATTCCAACCACCTGAAGAAGGCCGGAGCGTACAACGGCCGAAACGTTGTAATAAATATGGCGACAAAGATGAGGACAATAGTTCAAATAATGTAAATAGTGTAAGTAAAATAAAATAAAATATAAAATAAAATAGAATAAATAAATAAGTATAAATATAAAATATAAATATAAAAACAAATAAATGTAAATAAATATATAAATAAAATGAAATAAATATAAAATAAAAACAATATAACGTCAATCTGTCTCGATTTTTTTAGAATTTATAGTTGAAAGGTCTTTGTGTCACTCTGCTGGCCAAGGGGACGATAGCAGTTTAAGAAAGTTCCTCTCGAGGGTTTTAGTGAAATGTTCTTGATAACCATTACAAAAATATTGTTTTTTTACGGCCGGCTAATCAAACTCTGCAGGTTATTTAAAGGCAGAAAATATTTTTACATTGTAAGAATGTTTTGGAAATAATAATGATCTAGTGACACTAGACATGTTAATTAACCCATAGCTGGAGAGAGAAGAGTTGGATTCATAACTTTCGAAATGGTATTTGTGCGTAAGTGAATATAACGAACCCAACTGGAATTGAAACTCAGTTCTCTGATTTCCAGTCTTAGTCGTTATGTAAGTTTCCAGCACCAACATTCCCAAGTGGTAACTCATCTAAATACTGACCTCGCTCGACGTTGTTTAACTTCGGTCATCGTATGACAACCGATGTTTCACTGTCATATGGCGGTAAGCTCTTCACAAACAACAAGCAGTGACTTGTCTGAAAGACTCTGAAAAAAGTATACCGAAGAGTTATATATATATATATATATATATATATTTTGTATTCCCTATAAGTTTATGTTGTTTTGTCTGTCCTTTAGGCGTAACATATAAACTGAGACTACATCAGTTTTAGCTTTTGTTTTCTCTTGTGTTATATTTTTCTATCTTAGCTGTGTCGGTTTTCACGTACAATAAATATGTCTGGATCATTTAACAAAAAATGCTCACTATGTGATGTTGGATTTTACTATTATACTTTGTATACAACTCACTTGAGGTGAACGCAGCATTTGTTGACCTTTAGAAATAAATTTCTACTTTCTTCGTTTTTTATTTCTCTTTCAACACAATCTAACAGCCACTAATTTGATTATCAAAGCCAGAAATGACCGTAAAAATTAATAGTTTTTCTTATTTCAAACTTTCTTTTTAATAACCTTCTGTATAGAAAGTATTAATAACTTCATAATATAATTTCTACAGTTTTTCAAGTTGCTTCGTATTGACCATTGATATGGGAGGTTTTAATTGCTAAAATCATATTTTGAGAACCGTTTTTCTTACAATGTTAAAAATCTGACTTCCGTTATACATTCATTTTTTTTTTAACGAGCTCAGTATTTTTTTTAATCATTTCACCCAAGCAAGGCAATAAAGCCAGCTAGACGCAAGGGTTTATTGAGTTTAAGAGAATCTAACAAAAACACTATTAAGCAGAGAGAATATTAAAAGAACAAAAATTGAGAATATTAGAATTGATTGGGAAGCAAAAAGAAGGAGAAGAATTCCATAAGTGAGAAGAGCGACAGAAGAAACCTTTAGCATAGAACTTACGGTTACATCTCGTCATTTCAACGGTAAAATCATGAGACCTTTGCCGCCAGTCTAGTATTGCGAATAAGTTCATAAGATCAAGTTATAGCAGAGCATTAATCAGAAATTATAATATATTCCTTAACGTTGAAGATATATTTAGCAAATGGGATTGGCAAAAGCGGGTCATGGCTGATGTGATTAATGGATTGTATTACATGATGGGATTAAATGAAAGCTCCTGATACATTTATAATGATTAGACGGGTTACACGTTGCCGAATCATGTGACTAAGCACACGGCATCTGGTGATGATGCAGATTTAGTCAGAGAACACTGATTTAAATGTGATCACTTAAGTCTTTGCGAAGTATTTTGCGCAGAGTCATTTTTTTGTTGGCTTTCAAATGTCTAGCTCTTCGGCTAGATGAATCTTGGGGCGCCTCAACTCAAGCTACAAAAGAGAAATGATCATCAAAACCTGCTTATTACAATATAACACTATTTTACTGCAATAAAAAAAGACCTATTGGTCAATGATTCCATTTTGAACGATATGGGAATTGCTGAGAGGTTTATTCACTGCTTGTGTTTGAATTTTAGATCTTTACGGAACCAAGGAGCTGGCTCTATGCCCAACACTAATTTCATTCTTAATGTCAGTTTGGAATCAGCTATGCTGACTGCCAAAATATCAAAATAATCTTTTAGTAGCTGAACAAGAATTGAACTGAAAATGATTGTCAAGAAACAATGCTTTACTCCACAAGGTTATTGCCTAGTTGGATGAACAACTGAGCAATACTAAAGAACTCGATGAGATATCCTTAGGCATAATCAACTGAACGAGAACAGTTTATCTCCGTAGATAAATAAAGGGTTTAGTTCGAAATTATCTGAAGGTTTCCTAGATCGGCAAGAACCCGATGACGACTGGGGAGCCCAACGGTCGAAACGTTGTGATAACAACAACAAAGATGAATACAAGAAATTTAACTTACATTTGCTTCTATATGCTTTCTGGTAAAACATAATTACTTCACGGAACCCTAATATTTAAATACATTTAGCGTAAATTTGTTTTAAACTCTTTCTGATAAAATTTACTTAATTTCCAAATACACTAAAATAATGATGGTGTTTTGTAATCATACTTTTTACAATTTTACTTTAATCTAATTGTTGGTTTTGTATCTCTGTTGTTAACATGGACAATCAAAAGTATTATTAACGCGAGAAATGTTCATAAAAAGTTGATCGATTCATTCGTTTTTACGGTTTATCAACCGTTTGCAGGGTATTTAAAGCCAGAAAACATTTTTAGATTTTAAGAAATTTTAGATGATAATGATAGTGTGATACAAGTCTTACTAATTAACCCAAAGCAGAGGAGGATTCATACCTTTCCCAAGGGTATTTACGCATAAGTGAATATAACGAACCCAACCGGAATTGGAAGACGGTTCAACGCATTCCCATTCCGACCCGATACCCATTACACTACCCAATGCCAAAATGAACGTCAGTGACTTGGCCCACCGATTTCACTTTCCAAGTTGATGACCGTTACACTATTTGCATATCCGAAATGACTGTAAGAATTACTCTATGTGAATTCTTCTTTTTTCATCACCAAGTGTTTTTTCAATGAGGCTTGGATCATTCTTTACAATTCATTCCTTTTCCTAGAGTAATAGTGCAAATTTAACGTAAATTAACACTCACACTCTATTTTCATAAATAGACATATAAATATTTACAAAGACGCCTACAATCATGGCCGTTGCTACTAATGCAGTGACAAGTAAAAAGATATCTATTTTTACAGTTTTGATGCAAATAGATATTTTGACCTTAGATTAACCTATGGCGAGATTTAATAACCTAAACGGTCAGCGTCACTTGTTTCTGCTTTATTCACATTGTCTTTATAGACTGCTTTTCATCTTTCGGATTGCCGTCCATTAGACGTTTAGAAGGAGACAACTTCTAGTTTAATTGCTACAGATCATAAAGTTCCTTCTGTAGCACAATGATTATTAAGTGTTTCTTGCAAGATTAATTCGTTAACGAAGAGGGATCAATCTGATGTTAAACTTTCGCTCATATTTAGAAAATAATTTTTGGATGACTTCCATAATGCTCTAAAAACCCAGGTCATGTTCTTAAATTGCCTCGTCAGATCAAAACTTTTATATGAATGTCATGTATGTTGCCAAATTCGTTCAGAAATATCTTAACTGTATGTTTCATATACTGCCTTCTCAGATCAATGGTTAAAAATTGTTCTCACCGAATGGATTCTGTAAGTCGGTGTCATTATTAATTATACCACCTGCGCATCTAAGCTTATAACACCTGGTATTTCACAGCAGTCACCTATATACGTACTCACCAGAGTCGACATTGCATAACTTCGGTGATTGTATGGGTGTTTCAGCATGATATCGATGTAAGCCTTCTCTGAAAAGGATCGTTGTCTACATTTCGCACTAATCTCTAACGTTGAATATTTCAGGTATATTTATACTTGAAGATAACCATCTTGTCAAAGTTAAAAGACATTCTACTTTTGACCGACTGATATTACGAAATTCTTGTAGCAAAAGAAAAAATGCATTAAATTTTAAACATAGTGGAATGTGAATAAATTTCAGCTTCATAAAGAGCAGTCCTCTTGAAACTTACAGAAAATGCATTCTAAAAGATGTTCTCAGAATCTTATTTAAATTTAACGTCTTCTATGTGCCGTGTCCCTTCAGGACCTTGGCGATTATGACGCAATACAGTTTCCTGTTCTTTGTAGCCCATACTTATTTTTTTCTTTGGGCACGCCGAGGTGGTGTAATGGTTAGCAAGCTTGTCTCGCTAGAAATATTACGACTGAGTAGTGAGTTCGATTCTCACTGGGTGTCTCATACTTTCGGCCTTGTGCCACATCTGAGCTACGCTTGGAAAATCACTACTTATTTTTGTCTTTTTTTATCTCTCCTAAACGTTGCTCCACCACCAATTTAAATAGGAGTAGATAGGTTCGCCTATCACTCGATTCACATTCCTCTCTTTTGAACAGGAGTAGAGGTTTATCCATTGTTTCCTGTTTAGGGTTGGGCTTCCGGTTTCTTCTAAAGTCTTATTCTCTTTCACTTCTAGTAGCCACTTGAGTGCGACTTAGTGGCATTGTCGCCTTGCTTGGAGCGGAATTATAAAAAAATTTACTCAAGTTCGCTAGTTAGGTTACGCATTGTTTTCCTCTATTCCTCTTGCCTTGAAACTGTTCTGTGAATATCAAATTTTCCAAGTTTATTTTCCTGGTTATGTACCCTAGAAATTTCAACTGTCTTTTTCTAGCGTTAATTAGGTGTCCTTTTTGTTTCCATTTTCTCTGAAACTCTGCTTACATGTCCGGCCCATGGTATTCTCACCATCCTTCTGTAGAACCACACTTCTGTTGCTGCCAGTCTCTTCTTCGAATGATATTATGTAGCAGTTCAGTACTTTGTCATTGTTTCTTAATGTAAAGATAAAAAATCGGACATTCACAAAAATCTATGGGTTTGTTGTCATCTTTAAAAATCAGTAAGAAAAAAATAACATTAAGTAACAATCCCTATATTCGTGTTAATGTACAGATTAAAATACCACATATTATCCTTTGTTTTCCAGTCAACTTTAAAGTTTACAAATTCAAATGCAATGTCAATCGCTATCTACTCTCTTCCTGATTACTCTTCTATTATTCTCGCTGTTTAGAGATGTCTCTCTTTTCCAATTCTTTAACACACAATAACTCCTTGTGTCTTAGTGGCTTTACTACCTTGCTTGGGGTGAACTCGATTAAAAAATATAGGTCAACTTTGTTATGCATCGGGACTAGGGTTATTTGTCAGCGGGGATCATTTACGATGTTAATACATAAATCGACCTATTCTTTTGAAATTTAAGAAAATGCAACATTTAAATGCATGCAAAACATATATCAGAAAACTCTCACTAATAACCTGTTACTAAAGAGATTAACGGTTTTTGAACCTGTAGCTATATACGATCTTACTCATTAAACGACTGTTTAATTGGGAATGACAGCTCAGAGGAATTGGGAACGGCATTTCTATCTCCGATCTGTCTCTACCCATATATCTCAGTCTAGGGCGAGTGTAGTCTGGGAGCAGAGATTTATGACTTTTCTTAATTTAACTGACAGGAGGCACGAGTTAAAGCTTCATAAAACAGCTACTGGCAGACGACCCCCCCCGCCCGTCATTGCCACGAAGAATGAAACCCTATCTGATAATTCACTTTTTCCCATTTTCTTCAGTCTAGTAGCAGCTGTCTCGTTTCGATGTTGAAGCAGATGAACAAGCAAGAATGATTTCTTCCACAGTTTTTCGACAAAAGAGTCACCTTTCGATTTTGTCCTTTTTTTTTCTACACCCAGGCACAGCAACCATTCCAGAAGCGGCGTCTAAAACCCAACCAGGTGTTTGTCCAAGGCGAATCGTTTGAAACTTGAATCACTAAACATTAAAACATACTCTCTCTCTCTCTCTCTCTCTCTCTCTCTCTCTCTGTTTCTCTATATTTTCATCAGAGGCGTGAGCGATCATAGCTATCCACATCTTCTGTTTTGTTGATTTCCGCAATACTTGCTCTTTTACGACACTTGTCTTTGAGCGAATTGTTTCTTCATTCGTTTGGGCTTACGATTATATCACGTTGAGTCTCGTATGATCACTGAAGTTAAGCAACGCCAAACCTAATCAGTAACTAGATGGGTTACCACTTTAGAAATACTGTAAGTTTGGATGTGCGGATGATGTAACGGATAGCGGAAAACATAATGTTAAGAGTGATGTGATTGTTTGGTAATGCACTGGATCCTTAAGAAAGAACAGGTGCAATACTATAACGAATGCAGCAGGCACTGACCACTGAGTATCCTCATGTACAGCATGTTTTCCACTGGTTAGGTGCTAGATTATATCAAGACCGCTCAACCAATTCTTAAGATATTTAAAACGGATGTATACTTTCCGGACATATCTCTGACTTTACGATTTCGTATTAAAAATTCGCATTGAAAACTGGACTTAAACATGAAAACATATAATTTTAAAATATTTTCTGCTGTCATTATTAGTAATTAAGAGATCCAGTTGATAAAGACATTGGTTATATCCAGTGACTAGACCCAAAGAGTTGTGAGTTTATGAAATCCTCCACATTTGCTTGTCATCCCCTACGGGAAGATACACTCTTCCTCAAACAAACCTTTAACCAATCATCACTTTACTTTTCCAAACTCAATCCCCCCATTGGTCAAAAGAACACTAAAATCTAACAAAGTTGAGACAACCCTTTTCCCCCGCGCAGGTCTCTGGAGCCTATTTGGAAAGTCGAAAATATATAAAAAGAATCGCTCGACTTAATTCAAGTTAGTCAGACACTGAGTTTCGAGAGATACCAGCAGACCCCACGTGTGCCAAAACCCCGACTCAATAACCATTGCCAACCTCTCAATAACTCAACACAACTCGCACAGCTATTGCCGCATGAAGAAACTTAACTTACAATTTACTAAAAAGTGCCATTATCACTACAAAACAGTAATTATACATTTAATCAACTTTAATCTATCAGTTAAAGGCAAATAACTCTTCATAACTTAAATCAACACTAGCAGTTGTCACACACATACACACTATGACTTGAACTTACACAACTGACAATTTTCCTAGCAGATATCAAACTATTTCAACTTCACAAACAAAAACTATCAAACTTTATTCACTAAATTTCTGCACGGACAATCTCTGTAACCTTATCTCACTTGCCACATTTAACAAGCAACTTATTATCACTTTGTGTATGTGAAATATATATATATATATATATGTACAAATTCACGTTATTGTTGAAATCTCTAATGACGTTGTTTTCAGTAATTTCTTGAAGTTGAATTGTCTTTTTATTTTTGTTTGATTTATTTGTTGTGGATAAATGCATTACGATCACCGCACATTCTTGGCCTTCACAAAAAAAAAATCACCTTCTGATACATCGTACTCAGCATAGATTCCGCAACAAGTTCAATACCAGGCTACAGAAGTGGTGAACGAAAAAACTTGGAGAGTTGAGTTAAAGGGAAATAACTGAGACATCCGGAAGAGGTATAAAAAGCACAATAAATGGTAAATGTTTTAACATACACAAATTGAAATATTTGAATATAAAATCCACAAAGCAAAAGATCTTGTGATTAAAAATGAACAGACTTTTAGAGTAATTGCTTTCAATCTTAAATTTCAGAAAATTAACCTGTTAAGCTAGGAAATTGGAAATTATAATTTCCTTAAATCAGTCTTTATTCTGTCTTGAACTGACATGGCATTTATAGAGTAAACGATTTTGATTAACAGAAACGATTTTGATTAAATTTAATAAAAAAGCTATACAACTGCAGACTTTAATCTTAAAGAAACACATCCATTTTGTTTGTTGGATGATGCCAATGCATTTCCATCATTAAGAATAAAATTGTAGCTAAGACCTGACAAGTTATTGTAAATCTAATAACGTTAAGTGCAAACGGTCAATTATTGAAATGTTAAACATCTGCGCATAAACCATTTAAGACATTTTAACGATGTTTTCGAAATAATTTATTGACCTACGAATTTTAATAGAGAGGTTTATTGTCTACGAAAGTCTCCTGGTTCTGCTGTTAACATGAGAAATGACATCAACGAACCCATCGAAATGCATTAAAAAATCAAATAAATTCACTTCGTTTTATCAAACGATATTTTACATCTACTAATTAATTGACTCTAACCGTTGTTCAGTCGTAGAAATTTGGAAAGGTTTATTGGCTTAATATCTATCTATATATCTGGAATGCGGTATTATGATTATTTACATTATTCGAAATGTTATGCTCATTTTCATTGACATATTCACAACGTTTCCTCAAGGACACATGGCCCAGTGGATAAAGACGTTGTTTAGGTCCAGTGACTATCCCCAAAGAGTTGTGAGTTCAATATCAGGCTACAGCAGTGGTGAACTAAAAAAAAAAAAAACTTGTTGAATTAAAGTGAAAAAACTGAGACATCCGGAAGAGGCATGATACGTGGAACTAGAACAATCTATCCCGGTGGACGAAATAAAGGGTTCGGTTCGAAATTCCAATCACCTGAAAAAGGCCGGAACGTACAACGGCTGAAACCTTATTGGTTTAGGTTTAAGATACTGAATGCAAATAGTACTGATTTGTTTTTTACGGGTTATCAACTCTTTGTAGGTTATTCAAAGTTACAAAAATGATTTTTGTTTAGATTTTAAGAATTTTTTAGCGATAATAATAATTTACTATTAATTAACCAATAGCAGGGGGTAGAAGAGGTGGATTCATACATTTCCCAACGCTATCTGTGCATAAGTGAATATAACGAACTCGACTGGAATTTGAACTCGGCTCAGCAATTTCTAATTTCGTGTCATTCACCATTACATCACCCACACATCCAAGCTTACAGCACCTGGTATTCCCATGCGGTCACTCATCTAGGTAATGACCAAGTTCAACGTTGCTTAACTTCTGTGATCGTATGAGAACCGCTGTTTCAAGCCGGTATTTATTGAATTATTCTGATGGTGTTTATTTATTTACTAGTTTACCACATTCCGTTTAAAAATGGTAGCGATATTTAAGTAGTTTTAAATGAGTATTATTCTTGTAAAATATCCAAAACATGCGTTTTCTTGCTTATATTAATTACTAGGAAATTGTGATGTAGAAATTTCTTACATACACTCACGCATGTGAACGCTCACACATACACACACACATCTCTCAAGTAGGTCCAGCAAGGTCGTCGAGAATGATGTCTTCCGAGGCCTATGGGGTCAAGGTATTCGAGGATACCCGTCTACTAAGGCAACTAGCCAATCCCTCTTGCAGATGCTTGCTCAGACGCATTTGTGTATATTCAACAGCCACAGAGCCCACCTGTTGTTTTTACAGCAACTATGCTGATCAGACATTAGTTAGTCTCTTGGAAAGAATGTGTTATTAGCGTGATCAACAATTTGAACAAGGCTAGCACGCTCAAGCCCTTTGTCGACTGCCCCAAGGGTTCCGTCTTCCCATTTTCACTCACAAGGCTTGGGTCAACCGTGGAATGGTTTTTCAGCCACTTTCCATTCCTATAACATTAAGAAGTTCCCTTTCTGAGAAATCGACCATGATGGGATTCGAACCCGGTTCTCATGGTCAGAATACGAACGTTCTAACTAGTTGGCCAAGTACCCATGAGGTCAAGGTTAGAACTACCTTCATTTTGCATTTTACTAACAATCAGCCTATGTACATTCTCGCATCATTAATACATATCAATGCAAATGATACCACAATTTATGGATGCACGTCCAAAAATCAAGATGTTTGGAGCCTTGCAGTTGATCACTCCTCTGACCTAGCTCTAACAGCTCAAAATAGGAAATAACTGGCTTGTAACTTGCTATAGCTCAAAAGCCAAGCTACTATCATTTCATCATCGCCGATCAAACTCTGAGTCTTCCCCAGTCACAGTGAACGGTTGCAATCTCAATGTAATCCCTTGTTTTGAACATCAATTGAGATTCCAGAAAATATATGTCACCTGCTAAGTTTTATTTTTGCAAGAGTTGGATTTGACCGAAAATTGCTGACATATGTGAGATAGAGCTGCCTAATTCCCGCTTTGCAACGGTGAGTTCAAAGATCATTTACGATGTCTAGTCAGGGAAAACCTCTTCTCTACTCTGCAGTGACCATTCACAGAGGCAGCATAGCAAATCTATCACTATTCTATCTCTATTCCCAATGTTCACGCGATCTCCATTCTTTTTTCTATCCGTTCTATCTTTTATATTTACTGCTAAGACCTGACATGTAAAGTATAATTGCACTCATTCTCTCAGTATTCCTATTTTAAGAACGAAATTTCAGTTAAAAAGCTTTTCCCCAAGAACTTCTATTTTGTGAAATAGACTCCTGTTTGGATGCTTTCTCGAACGCTACAATCTTAGGATCACAATGTTCACTTCTTTCTTTTACAGTTATATCGCACATCTCATTCAGTAACTCTCTACCCTGTCAAGCATCCTTGAGCTTTGGGTTGGGGGAACTTAATTAATATATCTATATCAATCTATCTATCAATAATAATAATAATAATAATAATAAATAAATAAATAAATAAAATTAATACAAAGAAAAATCTCTAGTGTTATTGGTCCAGACCTGGCATCTCGGCTTCAGTCATTTTTCCCACAGCCACCACGTAGTTTCCCTGTGCCTTTATTTTTTTATAAATATTTTCATGGTAATTGTGCTGATGATCTTTCCTTTTTGGATTTAAATTTAACCGCAGTACTAGATTGATAGCAAGGCCTCATTATTTTACAGTTGAAATGGCTAAATGTAACTATAAGTTCTTCTCCTGCACTTCCTGCTTGTGGAACTCTCTTCCGGATTCTTGAATTCTGGTCAACTTTGTTCTTCAAAAAATTTAAATGCAATATCAATGTTTATTTTATGTCTTCTTAATTCCTGTTCTTTTATTGTTCTCGCTCTTTAATAATTTTCCCCATATTCTTTCTCACTTAGTCATTCCTTACATCGTATTGACTTTATTGTCTGAGCTTGTGTTGAAATGATTAAAAAATGTCCATTTATCTTGTCGTTACTCTGAGTGTCGAAGAAATTATCATAATAATTGATGGAATATGTTGTGACTAAGAAGAGTAACTATGCTGCATGAACGATAATTAATCATATATAAAGTCACATTTTGTTATATATATATATATATATATATATATATATATATATATATATATTTCGATGAAGAGATCTTGGTGGTGTAGTTCATGCGAATTGATTTGTAGATATTCTGATTTGTAGATAAATATCCTGATTAATTATATTCTGTAATATTATTCCTCAAGGTCCCCCCTTTTATTCATAGAACACTTTAGACACAGAATTTAATCTTCTAAGATAATGATTTATCAAGTTACAAAAACCAGATGATCACATGACAAATGTAGACGCGAAACTGGATAAGTACAAAGAATATAACATATTAAAAAGAACATAAAATATTCAGAAGAATATAAGATAATAAGAATAAGAAATATATCAAAGAATATAACAAACTAAAAAATATCCCTAAAAATTTCATTGTTTTCTTATTCGAATTTTCTGATGGATTTTAATTCTTAAATTAATTATTGAATAAGCTCACTGCGAGTTGTACGAAATATGAAATATCCTTAGAAATTCCTCTATCGCATTGTTAAATATTTTAGCTTCACAACTTTAACAAAGTTTTGCGATAGCAGTCATAAATATAAATGTTGGTCGGTTATTTAAAGAAGTAAGGGGGTACAAAGGAAAAGATTAGAAATTGACAACATTTTTCATTTCACTGAAAAAGACGCTAAACACAAGAATGTTATCGCGTCTTCTATTTCCCTTTCTTTTATTTTCTCACTGAAATCAAGTAACGTCTTTGATATGTTTTTTCTGTCATTACACGCGATCAAAACGGAATAGTCCATTATTTATGAGGTGTTGGAAGGGCTTAGCTTCCTTTCTTTTTCTCATTGAAACCAAGTAGTGTTTCTGATATGTCTTTTCCGTCTTTACACCTGATCAAAATGGAATCGTCCATTATTTACGAGATATTGGCAGGACATAACGTAATGTATGTGCTAACTAAAAGAAGGATCAAGCAGAATTATAAGATACTTATTTCGGTAACATTTTAGATTTAAAAATGTTAATAACATCCGAATAAGGTAAGAGAGAAGATGAGAAACGAGCAAGAATTTCTGCTGGCAAAAAGTCAAGTATCACGTGCATTGTAGTGTAATGGATATCGGCTTGGAGTGAGAACTCGGAGAGACGAGTTCGAATTCCAGTCGAGTTTGTTAGATTCACTCTTGCACAAATGCTCTTTAGAAAATTACGAATCCATTTCTTCTCTCCCCAGCTCCCTGGGTTGGATAGCGGGACAGACTGGGTTCTTTAGTTGGCACCCAGTCAACCGCAGAAAGAAATGAAAACCTCCTGCGGAAAAAAAAATCTGCCTCGTCAGTCATGTATCGAAAGATACATGATCGTCCAAGCATGTATCACGTATGGCACTTAACTAATTGACTGACCACATTCTACGACGTCAGATTTTTTTAATAAAACTTAGCGCCTGAATATTATAAGCGAAGATGCAAAATATTGGCGGTAGTCGAAGCATATTTAGTGTTTCTATGGTAACAACGATTTGAAAAATGTTTTGACCTTGCGTTATCAATGTTGAAGTTTGAGTCAAGATTATCATGAAATCCTTAAGGAAATTTGGTATAAAGAAATGGTAAGTCTAGTTCTGAATATGCAATGCTTTTGAGTTTTCTGAAATAGGCAAGTTTTCAGAATTCTTCTTCTTCTTTGCACCTTCCCTCTTCAGGACATGGGCGACCATAGATCTCCACAACTTCCAAATTCTTAAGGCCCTTTGCAAAGTCTTTCGTGCCAACGCTTCACCATCTCTCACCCAATGAATGTTAAGTTTTCCAAAGCCTTTCTTCCTTCCTCATTATGTGTCTAAGAAATTTCAGTTGTCTATTTCTGATTCTGAATATATGCGTTACTTTTATTTTCATTTTCTTTAAAATTTACTCGATCTATCCATTGGATTCTCAATATCCTTCTGTAGAACCACATTTCTATTGGTTCTAGTTTCCTTTTCATTTGTGGTGAGATGTCCACACACATTTTACACTAATAAAGCCCTTTGTAAAGTGTGAACTGTACTTATGAGAAATTTCTTTAAGGCATAGGCTACCATAATCATAATCTTTTCCAATCAACCACAACAAATTATTATTGATGTCTTCATGCGCCAAATTTCTGAGATTTCCATCTCAAGATCCGTGTATTTGGATAGTTTTTTGAATATCTTCAAAGAGACATTAAAGTCTGCAAGAACTGCTATGTCAATAAGAGAGCAGATTCTGTTCTTGTAGAATTTGATGACTATGTCTGGGCGATTAGCTTTGATTGTTCTGTCGATGTATTATAAAATCTCATCATATTGTTACAGGTCCTATGTCTCTAAACGAGTATGGGTGTTGTTTATACCAATTTCTTGCAGTTTCCTTGCCGTAAAAATTGCAGATTTTCCAGTGCAGATATTGACCCACTCTGTCATGCCGACTTTTATATTCGGGGCATGCTTATAGATTATAACCTGATACAAGATGGTCAATTGTTTCTGGATATTCATCACAGAATTTGTAATTCGGGTTAACACAATTTATCTGTCTTATTATTATTATTATTATTATTATTATTATTACAAGAGCTCTACTCCAAGAGTTTCATTCCTCGCACTTCTCACCTGTGGATCTCACTTCCGACTTTCCTGATAACTACATTCTTCAACAATTTAAATGCAACGTCAGTCACTATTTTCTATCTTCTTGAACTCTGTTCATCTTTTGTCTAATCTTCAACCCTGCCTATTCTCAATCTTCTCTTTCACTTTCACGTCCTGCAACCCCCTGCGCACTCGTGGAATTACCGCCTACT